CATGGGATCCTCAGCACTCTTCTCCAGCCTCACATTCTCTCCAATGCATTGATTTTCCTCCTATCTTCTTTCTTAACTGTCCAGCTCTCACATCCATCCATGGCAATAGGGAATACGATGGCTTGTATGATTCTGACTTTGGTGCTGAGTTGTATATCTCAGTATAGTAGACCCTCGGTATCCACTGGGGTTTGGTTCTAGGATACACACACAAAAAATATGTGGATACTTAAGGTTCTTTTATATATACAATGGTATAGTAAAACGGTGTCCCTTATATAAAATGGCAAAATCAAGGTTTGCTTTTTAGATTTTTAGAAAAACATTTTTAAACCATGGATGGTTGAATCCATGGATGCAGAATCTGGGGATACAGAGGGCCGACCAAACATAGATTTGGTTCATGCCCACTTTCCACCATACAGCAAATTCTCTTCTTTCGACAAACTATTCTCTCCGATCATCAGAACCCGTGACTGTTCCCCACCTTCCTTCTGAGCCTCTTTCTCTTCACTTTCTCCCTAGCTGGATAAAGCCTTGATTCCCCCTGACAGATTCAAATCGGTTTCCACTCATATCCCTCTCCATTTCTTTTGCATTGGTCTTTCAAAGATCCTACCTACAGCATGTACCCTGATGCCTTTTAGCTCCATCCCACCGTTCATGAGACTAGAGATAAAACCAGAGTCAGCTTCCTCTCATCACACCTTGCACAACTATGGATCTGACAGTTTGTCTTGCAAGATTTCTTTGGCTGTCCTTTACGGGTTGCGGCTATACTGTTGCAGCTGGCGGCCAGGTGTTTGTTGTTCAAGGATGGCACTGAGCCTGATTTAGCCACAGATTTATTTATTTTTATGGACTCTTCTTTGCAGTATGAACAAAAGAGTACACAAAGATCCCACACTGCTAACTGGGACTGGCTATATTTTAATGGGGGAGGTAAGAGCCAAGTGTGTGTCTCTGTGTGTCTATGTCAAGAGAGCCAGTGTGGTGTAGTGGTTTGAGCATGGGACTATGACTTTGGAGTGCTGGGTTGGAATCTTGGCTCGGCCATGGAAACCCACCGGGTGGACCTTAGGCAAGTCACACTCTCTCAGCCCCATCAGAGGCACGAAATGACAAACCCTCTCGGAAGAACCTGTGCCAAGAAAAAATGGAGATAGGTTTGCCAGGAAGAATAGCCTGTGGACTGGGAACTTCAATCAAGGTCAAACCATTTTTCTTCTTCTTAAAGTTGGACTGAGTTCACATGTTTTTCCTGATGCAAACATATGGAGACTTCTTGAAGAATCCATTCTTCTCTGCCACAAAGAGGTCTTTTGCCTCATTGGAATGGAGACAGATTGGATTGCAAAAGATGGCTGGCTTTGGTAAGTCACATACTCTCAGCCTCAGAAGAAGGCAACTCTCCTCTAAACAAATCTTTCCAAGAAAAACTCATGACAGATTCACCTTCTAGTGGCCATAAGTCAGAAATGAATCTAAGGCACACATGAGACTAAATTATGTATATCCCTACATTATGCCCCTTAACTTTGCAGATTCCCCAGATGTATATCCCATGGTGAGTATCCCCAAATCCCCATAATAGTATATGGTTCATCTTGTCTCTTGATGTTCTCTTTGTTCTCTGCAACAAAAAGGCCTTTTACCTCACTGGAATGGAGACATATTTGATTGCAAAAGAGGGGTTCCTGTTGAGATGCCAATAGATTTTAAATTTTCTGGACTTGGCACATCTCCCTATAGCCACAGGGCCAGAAGGAGGAGGATCCTGCCTGCAAAAAATATCCTCCTTCTCCACCATTTACTACCATCTTAACTAAAGTCTGAAACAACATGCAGGCTTCTGGCTAACATCTCCAATTGTTTTTCTCCTGTTCGGTTGGTAACATCTTCCCTGATGAAGAAGAAGCCCATGGAGCTTCGAAAGCTTGCAACAAGTATATTGTGCATTTTGGTTGGCCAATAAAGGTATCACTGATGGATTTTTGTTTGAATTTGCTAAATGGCCAACACAGCTATCCCTGAATGGTTTGCCTTAGGGTCGCCAGAAGGTGGGAATAACTTGAAGGCACATAACAATATAATATGTCCAGTAGGGTTGGCTCAATCATTAAGTACAGGGAAGCTAGACAACAGTATTATGCTTAGGCAGAAAAAAATTAAATGCACAAATACAGGACGAGTGACACCTAACAACTGTACAAGGGAAAGGGATCAGGGAGTCTGCTGAACATGAGTCAACAGTGTGATGTGGCAGCTAAAATGCTGTTATGATCCTAGGCTGCAACAATAGGAGCGTAGTGTCTAGATCGAGGGAAGTAGTAGTACCACTCTCTTCTGCTTTGGTCAGGCCTCACCTGGAATAGTCTGTGCAGTTGTGGGCACCACAATTCAAGAGGGATACTGACAAGCTAGAGCATGTCCAGAGGATGGTGACCAAAATGGTGAAAGGTCTGGAAAGCATCAAGTCTTATGAAGAGTGGCTTAGGGAGCTGGGTACGTTTAGCCTGGAGAAAAGAAGGTTAAGGGGTGACATGATAGCTAAGTTAAAATTTTTTAAGGGATATCATATTGAACATGGAGCAAGCCTGTTTTCTGCTGCTCCAGAGAATAGGACCCAGAGCAATGGGTTCAAGCTACAGGAAAAGAGATTCCACCTCAACATTAGGAAGAATTTCCTGACAGTAAGAGCTATTCGACAGTGGAATATGCTGCCTTGGAATGCGATGGCATCTCCTTCTTTGGAAGTCTTTAAACAGAGGCTTGATGGGTGCTATGATTGTGAGTTCCTGCATGGTAGAAGGGGTTGATCTGGATGGCCTTTGGGGGGTCTCTTCCAACTCTAGGATTCAATGATTCTATGCTTCAGGTGGCAGGTAGAAATGCACATCTTGCAGCTGTTATTTCTGAGTTGCTGAAACCTTTCTTTTCTCTTTGAGGGCAGAGATACCTACATTTCACAGCCTGTCCTGAACCCACTATTTTAGCCTGCTGCCCGCCAGTGTTGTGGAAGATCCTAAACCAGGGGTAGGCAACCTTTCCCCTTTAAGGGCCGAGGGACTTCAGCTCCCAGAATCCCAGGAGCTATTGGCCAACATGGGACTATTGGCCAACATGGCTGAGGCTTCTGGGAGCTGAAGTCCCTCGGCCCTTAAAGGGGAAAGGTTGCCTACCCCTGTCCTAAACCATCCCTATCATTGAAGTAAGGTGTTGTTGTTGTTGTTGTTTAGTGACTGAGACTATATTTTAAAAATCTAGGATTCAGTAAGGCTTCATCAGATTATGTTGCACGTTCCAAGCAGTGTCACATTTTGAAATTGTGTTGCCATGAACCTATCCATGGTGATTTCGTTCAGATGTTTGGTCGGTCCATTTGGAATTTCTCACAGAGCATCCATCTCCAGTGGCATCCCTAGAGTTGGCATCACTTGGTGCCATAATTCAATAATTCATAATACCAAACCTATACAGACTCCTTAGCAATGTTTTTTGTACTAACATTACTCATAAATCATAATTCCCATATACCACTGAATATAACAGTAATAGTTGTGACATAAACAACTAGCAAAATTAAAATTATACCTCTAAATAACAATAAAATATGCACAGAGCCAGAGTGGTGTAGTGTTTTGAGTGTTCAATTGCAGCTCTGGAGACCAGGGTTTGATTCCCGGCTCAGCCATGAAGCGCACTGGGTGACCTTTGGCAAGTCACACACTCTCAGCCTCAGGGGAAAGCAATGGCAAAACCTCCTTTGAACAAATCTTGCCAAGCAAACCCCATGATAGGTTCTCTTTGGGGTCACCATAGGTCGAAATGACTTGAAGGTACACAACAATAACAATAACAATCATATGCACAGCCTAAATATATTTACATGTACTTCATGGGCTTGAAGTGAAAATTGGCAATACATTTTTAAAATTGGCAATACATTTTAAGAAGAAATTTCTTCTCAAGAGGTTTGGGGAGCGGTGGCATCACCCCACCTTAGAGTGTCACCTAATGTGGTCCATACCTCCCACATCTCCTAGTGACACCCCAAATAACACAACTGCTTCTCCTCCTCATCATCATCTTCCTCCTCCTCCTCCTCCTCCTCTTCTTCCTTCTCTTCTTTTTCTTCTTGCTTTTCCTCTTCTTCCTCTTTTCCTCCTCCTCTTCCTCTTCTTGGTGTCACTCAGCACCATCTCTTCAGCATTTTAATGGGATGCAGGCAACCCAAAAGGCAGATATTTGGCGTCGCTCCATCTTAGGGGGTCACCTGGTGTGGTCCGCACTTTCCGCACCCTGCTATCACAACTGCTGCTACCAACACTATTTCATCCTCTTCTTCCTCCTCCTTTTCTTTTTCTTCTTCCTTTTGTCCTCTTCTTCCTCTTCTTCCTCTCCCAGGGACAGTCCCATAGATGCCGATGTCTGCCTACATAACCAAGCCTGGATTCTCCCCGTCTCTCTCTGTCTCTGTCTGTGCCATGACTTCTTCTCGGAGGAACCATTTCCAACATAGTCACAGAGAGAAATGCCCCCCCCAAACCCACTGTGACCACTTTCAGGAGCATATTTCTCTCTGCGCCTAAGGCATACAAGAGCAGGAGCAGATTTTTGGCTGGGAAGATTAAGGAGCTGGGGAAGACTCGCCCGTCTGTTTCATGCATCCAGCCATGAAAAGCAGGGTGGCATTTTAAAACAATGTACAGAAACACGATGCCTAGCGCACAGTTGTGCCAAGCAAATCGGTCCCCTGGCAACATGGCAAAGAGCATGCACTGCATTAATCTCAGTAGGCTGATGCTATGGACCAGGATGCAGGTCAACTGGTGGATTTCCACATGTCAGTGAACTCCAAAACCCATCAGCCACAGCATATCCTGGGCCTACATAGATGAGTGGTTCAGACTGGAGTCGATAGATGAGTGATGAAATAAATCTTCTCTGCTCCCGTTTCATAAAGGTTGGGTGCATTTTTGAAGGGTCTGTATATGAAAGTCAATGTGGCGTAGTGGTTTAAGTGTAGGATTATCACTCTGGAGACCAGGGTTCGATTCCCAGCTCAGCCATGAAACCCACTGGGTGACCTTGGGTAAGTCACGCTCTCTCAGCCTCAGGGAAGGCAATGGCAAACCTCCTCTGAACAAATCTTGCCAAGATAACCCTATGCTAGGTTCGCGTTAGGGTTGCCATAAGTTGGAAATGACTTGAAAGCACACAACAACAGCAACAACAATAACAACATAGAGTTTCTACTTTTTATTTTATTGTTTTGATTGGATTTCCATAGGGCGGGATATAAATAAATATTATTATTATTATTATTATTATTATTATTATTATTATTATTATTATATTATTTATAATGCATTTTATTATTTTTAATTGTTTTAATATAAGCTTGTTTAACTGTATGCTTTATACTTTCATATAACCTTTGCAGTGCTTTTTAACCTGTCTTTTTAAAATGTTGTTAGTTACACATTATTGGGAGAAATAAAATCATCACCACCACCGTCATCATCTACACTGGAGAAATAATGCAGCTTGACACCACTTTAATGGCCACGGCTCCATCCTACAGTATCCTGGGATTTGTAGCTTGGTGAGGCACCAGCATGCTTTTGCAACGAAGGCTAAAAACCTTGTAAAAATGCAAATCCCAAGATTTTTTTCCCCCATATGATGGATCTACAGCACTTAAAGTGGTGTCAAACTTCACTATTTCTACAATGTAGATGCACCCGTTGTGATGTCCAGGACTGGTTACAGAATTCCAGGTGACGCCTGGCTATCATGTCAATGCCACCTCTCAACTTTCTCGTCCCCCATAGGACTTGATGGTTTCCATTCTTCATACTGAGGATGGAGCAAGCTTATTTTCTGCTGCTCCAGAGAACAGGACATGGAGCAATGGATGCAAGCTACAGGAAAAGTGATCCAACCTCAACATTAGGAGGAACCTCCTGACAGTAAGAGTTCTTTGACATTGGAACATATTTCCTTGGAGAATGATGGAGCCTCCTTCTTTGGAAGTTTTTAAACAGAGGCTGGATAGCCATCTGTTGGAGGTGCTTTGATTGTGAGTTCCTGCATGGCAAAAGGGGTTTGGGCTGAACACTATGATTCTAGTATTCTTTCATCCCCAAACTCCTGTCCCAGACAACCTCTCTGCCTTCCGAGAACAACCACAGCTACATTAATCCCAGGACGTTGCTTTTCCGCTTCTCTAACCGTAAAAATAGCTTTTGCTAAAATGCAAGATACCATTGTAGCAGTTCCATTCTGCTGATTCTCAGGGACCTGATCTCCCCTGGAGCCACCTTGCAGAAGAGAATTAATATTCTGTCTAACCTGGCCTGGAAATATAATCAGCACTGGAACGGACAGCTTTCTTTGCTGGAAACGACGACGACGGCAAGTAGACAGCAAGTGGAACAAATGCTTTTATCTGGAAAGGTCACCCCCATTTGTAAGTGCTGTATAGTGTCAATCACATTGTCTTTTCCTTCCTGCTGGGTCTGTGCTTTGCAAATTCATTCGTGGAATGGAGCATGGCATCCTTTGAATAAATGGAAGGCCGGGGAACTTGTTCTCTCCATCGGTTTCTATAGATAAGATCAGTGAGGAAGGTTGCTTGGCATTGTCGTTGCTTAAGAAAACTCTTCGCCACATTTAGAAGCGTTCACGATATCCTGTGGATTCTGAGAGTTGTAATACCCCAACATGGATTTTTTCCCCCCAAGCTCTGATTTCCACCAATCCCACTAATTTGATCTTCTAGCTCAGATTCCACACAATGCACAATGTTACTCAGATTCCGCACAATGCAAAAGGAGATGCTAACATGTACACTGGTCCAAAACACACTGCAGAAATTATCCGGTTTGAGACCGCTTTAACTGCCCTGGCTCAGTGCTAAGGAATCCTGGGAACTGCAGGGCTTTTTGTAGCACCAGGGCTCTTGGACACAGAAGGCTAAATGTCTCACAAAACTAGAGTTCCCAGAATTCCCTAGCATTAAGCCAGGGCAATGCAAGCAGTCTCAATCAGGATTATTTCTGCAGTATGTTTTGGCCCTTAGTATGTCTAACTTAGCCAGTATGGTGTCATGGTTTGAGTGTTGGACTATGACTCTGGAGACCAGGGTTCGATTCCCATCTTGGCCATAAAACCCACGGAGTGAGCTTCGGGGAGTCACACTCTCTCAGCCTCAGAGGATGGCAATGGCCAACCCCCTCTGAAGAAACTTGCCAAGAAAACCCCATGATAGGTTCGCCTTAGGGTCGACTTGAAGGCACACAACAACGTCTTTAATGATTTTTTATTTTATTTTAAGTTTTAAATTAATGTGATCTTTTAAATCCTGTTTTAAAAACTTTACTGCCATTTAAATATATTTTGTGAGACGCCTTAGGTCCAATTTAGAAGAATGGCAGCATATAAATGAATTAAATAAATAAGTAAATAAAATAAAATATGATTGGACAAAATATGAGCCAGTCGAAAGTCTGGCTGTTGTGTGCCATACTAAGGTAAGCTTCCAAACCATTTTTAAATACAAACAGCCTTACACATCGCAGTAACGTCATGAGATCCTTAATGCCTTCCTATTTATTGCTTATTCCATGTAAATTTTATTAATTCAAAAACATTTCTGTTTGCTTTTCAGTATCCAGTGTTCGGGAACAACCAGAATGTTGTTAATAGGCATATATGTTTTTAAAAAAAGAAAACTGGAAAGCAATCTCAAAAATCAATAAGCGGTAAAACGACAAAGTTATAACTTGGCAGGAGAATTAGGCAATTCTGATTAACATCCTCACACAACAGCAACAATAACAAGTCACTCCTGAAGCACTGGATCCCTGGCATTTTACACTCTCCTAATCTGGCCAGAATATATAGAGATGGTGAGATGCATCCCTGAAAACAGCAAAGAGTTTTAAGTGGATGGATATAGATCCATATCTGAATCAGCCACAAGCCATTGCATTAGAAACAAACCATTCTAATAAAGCTAAAATAAAAACTAACAGTTAAATTTTGGCAATATTCACAAACCATTATAGCTAAATGAAGTCTGTATAGCATGCAATGCAAAGCATTCGGAATGCTATCTAAATGCAGGACTCAGAAAAACGCGCTCAGTCTTGTTCTCACAGCACCCTCTATGAATTTTGCAGACTTAGTTGTCACGCATTATCGTGGGCTGCATCTACACTGCAGAATTAATGCACTTTGATACCGCTTCAACTGTCGTGGCTCAATGCTATGTATGGAAGTCAGGGATTTGTAGTTTTGTGAGATATATGCATTTAAGAGACCCAGTGTGGTGTAGTAGTTTGAGCATTGCACTGTGACTCTAGAGGGATGACCTTGGGCAAGTCACACTCTCTCACCCTCCAAGGAAGGCCATAAAAACCCCTCTTAAGAAACTTACCAAGAAAACCACATGACAGGGTCTCTATAAGTTGGAAACAACTTGAAGGCACACAACAGAACAGAGATATGTTTAGCCTTCTCTGTCAGAGAGCTCTGATGACACAACAAACTACAAATCCCAGGATTCCACAGGATAGAGCCATGGCAGTTAAAGTGACATCAAACTGCATTAATTCTGCAGCATGACAGCAGCATTTGGGTGCCTCTACACTGCAGAAACAATGCAGGCTGACATCATTTTAACTGCCTTAGCTCAATCCTACAAAATACTACAATTTGTAGGTTTGTAAGGCACCAGCACTCTTTGGCAGGGAAGATTAAAGACCTGGTAAAATTGCAAATCCCAGGATTCCTTAGCATGGGACTACAGCACTTAAAGTGGTGCCAAACTGCACTATTTTTACAGTGTAGATGCAGCCTAGGTCTGCTAAAGGAAGGATACATACAAATCAGATGGATTCCCTGGCATAGATGTCAAGAGGGGAAGATAACTTCCCTCCTTTTTCCTTGTTGTTAACTGCCTTAGAGTTGATCTCGAGTTATGGTGACCCTGTGGATGAGACCTCTCCAAGAAGACCCCCTGTCCTCCCCTGCTCTTCTTAAATCCTGCAACCCCTTAATAAATCCCCATAGGGACCTCCTGAATAATAGAGTCCCTCCATCTGGACTGGGGCCTTCCTCTCTTCCTACTTCCCTCCACCTTCCCCAGCATTATTATTGTCTTTTCCAAAGAGTCCTCTCTTCTCATGATGTGTCCAAAGTACAACAGCCTCAGTTTGGTCATCTGGGCTTCTTCCAGGGAGCTTTCTGGCTTGGTCTGCTCTAGGATCCCTTGGTTTGTCCTTTTGGCTCTCCATGGGATGCTCAGCACTCTTCTCCAGAAACACATTCTCTCAAATGCATTGATTTTC